GATCCCACTCCTCAGCCATACATACCCTCGCCGCGCACCAGAACTTAGTATTGGAGGAATTTTTTATAGAGGTTATCTTCCTCGCGGTCCGGGCGGTTAAGCCAAGACCCTCGTCCCGGTCCGAGTCATAAAACATGACCATGATCTCTTCCCGGATTACGATATCGACGGGTGCAGTCGGGCGCAGCTAGTGCCCCGATGCTACTCATTGGCAGGGTGAGTGCACAACGAGCGCCGCCCTTGTTTCTCCGCCCCGCTCTCTGCTAGGTCCAGAGAGTCGTGCGGAGGGACGCCCCCACGGAGGCGTAGACTCTATGCCAGCATAGAGCCGGTCGCCTCTAGAACCCGACCGGGTTCTCCGCCCGGCCAGAAGTTCGCTGCGGGCGACAGTCAAACCAACCCTGTCACCATCCCGTTAGGGAGACTGTCGCCCGCACCCAGGGTGCACCACGGGGAGGTCTTCTGGCACGCACCCCAAGCAATGAAGGCTGCGGAGCTGAGATCGCTGACTGTTTCGAGATGCACTGCTTTTGAAGCAAAACAAATAAATATACACAAATAGCTTTTAGATACACTATTGCCGCGACCCTTCTTGCTGGAAATCATGAAGGGGCCAGCGAAGTCAGTTCCGCAGATCTGAAATGGATAAAATTCAGTAACTCTGCTCGAAGGCAGATCACCAAAATATGGATTTATAGTTTTTGCTTTAAACCTTTTGCATATTATGCAATTACGAACTATACGTCTGGCTAAAGTTCTGCCGCCTATAGGCCAAAACTGTTCTCTAAAAGAGCAAAGTAAAAGTTGAGGACCGGCGTGACCGAGACGCAGGTGATCAGCTGTCATTAAGATTTTTGTAAAATGATGTTTTGAATCTAGCAACGCTGGATGTTTTTTTTCATATTTAATAGCAGCATTTTTGAGTCGACCGCCCACTCTCAACACACCGATATCATCAATAAATGGAGATAAATTTAAAATATGAGATTTAGGCTTAAGGGACTTGCCTTTAGATAAAGATTCGATTTCATGTGAGAAAGATTCTCGCTGAGCCATTTTTATGAGAAAATTAAGAGAATTTTGTAGTTCATCCTTGTTTAACGGTGACTTGTTTTTAATTGAAGTTTTACAGTTACTGACAAATCGAAAAACATAAGCATAGACTCTTTTGAGTCTTATAGCACTTGAATAATTATCAAAGTTAATGAATTTATGATTATATAACTTTATTTCTTGAGTATTATGAACCTTTATTTCTGGTAAGTCTACTTTTATGTTTGGATAAGAAGGCCATTTCGATGCAGAGTTTAAAAGAAAGGACGGGCCTTCCCACCACAAGGACGAATTTATGAGTACACTAGGTGCTACCCCCCTTGAAGCCAAGTCCGCGGGATTAAGATCAGTCGGGACGTATTTCCAAGAGTTTCTTTCGGTAAGCTCGTGTATTTCATGAACACGGTTGCAAACGAACGCCTTTAATAATTTAGGCTGAGTTTTAATCCAACCTAATGTGATGGTTGAATCAGACCAAAAGTGTTTATTGTTACTTTTGCAACGAAGTGCGTTACTGACTTTATTCATGAGGCGAGCACCCAGTAGTGCCGCACACAATTCAAGTCGCGGAATTGTCACAGGTTTCAAAGGTGCCACACGAGTTTTAGTACACAAGAGTCTAATAGTAATGACGTCATCAGCATCGAGCGAACGTATGTACACACACGCTGCGTAGGCGTCTTGGGAGGCGTCCACGAAGCAATGGAGTTCAGTTTTAACAGGTGAAGAGCACATTGCGTACCTTGGAACTGATACTGAAAGAAAAAGGTTAAGATGGCTTGTTACCTTTTCCCATAACCTTTTAATATCATGTGGGACGGGATCATCCCACCCTAATTTCAGTTTCCACAATTTTTGCAACAATAGCTTTAAAGTGATTGTGCAAGCGCTCAGAAGGCCGAGAGGGTCAAATATTTTGCACGTATTAGACAGAATAATTCTTTTTGTCGGTGTTTGTGTATCTATATTTATGCTAAATTTAAGTGAGTCTGTGTTTGGAACCCACAGAACTCCTAAGACATTAGATTCCTTATCAAGATCTAGGGATTTACTTTCCGTTGAAGATGTGAATATCTGAGGACAATTAGTACGGAATTTGTGAATGGGAAAACAAGCGGAAGCTAACGTGTCTGTTACACCTTTATGAATGTGTAGTAAGTCATTTTGGTTGGAACAACCAGTTAACAGATCGTCAACATAGAAATCATGTTTTATGACTTCTGATATCATAGGATCTGTGCAATCATCTGCTAATTGCCGAAGGCATCTTGTGCTTAAAAACGGTGCGGCAGCGGTACCGTATGTGACAGTGTTAAGCTGTAAAATGTTAATGGGCCTTGACTCATCATCGCGCCACAAGATAAGCTGTAAATGTCTTTGAGACTTGTCTATCATGATTTGCCTATACATTTTTGTTATGTCACCACACAGAACATATTTATGTTGACGAAATCGAACTAAAATGTCAAATAATTCTTCTTGAACTGTGGGGCCTATCGCTAGGATATCATTTAAAGATTTTTTAGATGTAGTTTTTGCTGACGCATCAAAGACGACCCGGAGTTTTGTAGTCTCGCTTGTGTCCCGTATCACCGCATGATGAGGTATAAAATAACCGAAAGGTGGCCTTTCTATTTTGGTTAGGTGGCCAAGGTCCTCATACTCCTTCATAAAATTATGATATTGTTCTCTTAAGCTTGAATTTTTCATTAATTTCTTCTCAATATTTAATAATCGCTTTTCAGCCATGTAATAAGACTCGCCAAGCGCGGTTTCAGGATTCTCAAGAAATGGCATTTTAACCGAAAATCTACCATCTTCCAAACGGGTAGTATTCTCAACAAAATGTTGTTCGCAGAACTCATCATGAGGTGATAAAGGTAGCCTTGAAGTAGAAACCTCCTCGATATTCCAGAATTTCGTTAAGTTATTATTTATTTCTTTAGTAAAGTTACAGACGGTATTTTTTATCTCCGATTTATTAAGGGAACCTGTTGGCATATTAAGAGGTCCCGCCACAATCCAACCGAATTGAGTATCTTGGAGGATGGGCATCCCCGCCCCCATTTTAAGTTTGTTGGGAGAAATGGCCTCAAAAAATACTTCTGCACCTAAAAGAAGATCGACTTCTGATGGTTGACTAAAATTAGGATCGGCTAACTTTATGTTCTCGGGTAGATTAAGACGCAAAATATCCACAGGAATGTTAGGTAAGTGACCAGTTATTTTAGGCATCACTAAACACTTAAGATGAGCGACAAAGGGGCCGATTAATGACTGAACTATCACTTCGCAGCTGCTCGATAAATGTACCGGAGCATTGTTGATACCGGTGATGCAAAAACTAGTGTTTTGAGTTGTTAAGTTCATTGTATTCTTTAGGTTTTCTGTAATGAATGATGATTGACTGCCTGCATCGAGCAACGCACGGGCAAGATAAGTATTTTTAGTTCTAGGATCTACCACTTGCACCACCGCAGTACCTAGAAGAACTTGACCTGATGACTGGGCTGGCATCGAAATTGATAATGACTTTAAGATTGTTTGATTACTATCATTGTCTTGATCCACATGTAGCAAAGAATTATGTCTTTGTTGGCAAACACGACAATTTCCATCTAAGCGACAGTCTTTTACCGCGTGGCCTCTCCTCAAGCAGTTCAAACAAAGATTAAGTTTTATGGCTTCACTTGATCTGACTTGTGGCGACAAGTCTTTAAATGTGGTACACTCCACAATCCTATGCTTTTGATTACAATACGGACATGTATGGTGGTCATTTTTATTATTGTGTTTGGTGGTCTTGCTATTAGCAGAAGCGACAAAACTTTTCCTTTGATGAAATATTTTTTTTTGATTAGTGTCACTATCGGACCTGTTTATTTCCTTTTGTGAAGAAGAATTTTTATGATTTGTTTTGTCATTTTTGTTAACAAACATAGTCTCAAGAATGTCTGCCCGATTACGTATAAATTTAATAAATTCATCCAAAGAAGGGTAGTCTGTAAAACTGTTTTTATGTTCTTCCCATTTGGATAAAGTAACTGAATCCAATTTCGTAGACATAATGTAGATGATAAGAACGTCCCACTTTTTAGTGGGTAGACCTAAAGTCTCAAGCGATCTCAAGTTTTTAAGTATATGATCAATCATAAATAGAATAGCCCTGTGTGACTCACGAGTTATCGGTTCGAAATCAAATAAAGACTTCAAATGATTATTTATCAAAATTTTCTTATTATCGTAACGAGCGCATAACAATTCCCATGCTATTTTATAATTTTGAGCAGTAAATTCAATTGATTTAATGACTACAGTCGCGCTGCCTACCAAAGATGATCTCAAATAATGAAATTTATTTATGTCAGAAATTGATTCATTGGAGTTTATTAAGGCGTCGAAAGTGTCTCTAAATTCAAGCCATTTGAGATAATTGCCATCAAAGGTTGATAAATTAATTGTGGGTAGCTTAATATTGTTCATATTATGATTGCACACCGTGTTCGCAGATTTATAAGAAGGTTGACTAGTTGCGTCAATGCCTTGATTAGGATTAGCTTTCGAATATGACTCAGCAACTTCCTGCGCTGACGCTATATTAGAATAATAAAAATCTTCGAATAAATCTCGCTCAATAAGTTGTTTAGGGTCCTCACTCATTAATTCGATTTTGGTTTGAATTTCATCGAATTCATGAATAATACCTTCTATTTTACTCAACCGAACAATTAGTTCTTTATTTTGTTTACTAGTAACGGTTTGAACAGGAATTTCAGACAAAGTAGTTACGAAATTATTGAACTTAGTTAATTGACCTTTTTTAGTACCTCTCAAACTAATTAATTCCTTTAAGGTTGCGTTTACCGACGCGTTTTCTTGACCTTCATCACTTCCAGAAGGCATTGTTAAGGGCAAATAAACAAATTAGTTAAGATAATAAATGTTCATCAAACCACAATGTTGATTATGCGACGATCCAAGTCGCGTAGCTGTACGAAGCAATAGCTGGCGGGCGGTGCACCTGCGCTCCAGCCGGCCGGTCGAGTGAAGGTCACGCGCACCGCACGTGAACCGCCGATTTCCTGGAATTGTTCGGCCACTTGTCGTCAATATTTTTATTTACGATAATATTTTTTTACGATGTCGACTTAGATAAATTTAGGGTATGAAAAGTGGCTAGAAAAAGGATTAATCGTGAAACAAAGGAATTAGCTTAAGATTTGAGAACGTGGGTATAGCCACAAATAAATTCGTGATTTTTAAGCAAAGAAATTGGCTGTTGTACGGAAGAAAACGCTTACGTTAGTTGTTGAAATGAATGTTTAGCTGTAATTATGTATTTAAAAAGCGGCCCGCACAGAATTATGACTATTTACATGTAGGTAGGTACCTACTTATTATGCACAGTAGCAATTAAGACGGCGATTATAATTATGGAACCACTCGTTGCGCTGTGCGATTGGAAGCATAAAGTATAGCTAAACACCACGATTAAGCGTATGAGGCACACTGCAGCGGATTAGCGCAGAAGCAAATAAGTGAAACTCGCGAATTGAAATCCACTAAGTTATTCTTTTAATGCAATCTCGGAATTTCACACTTAAACACAGATAAAAGGAGGACTATTGGATAAAAGGAATGAAGGAAAGAGCACTCCCCTGATTCAGAAATGCAGCCGAAGCACACCCGGCAGCCACCTTCTTCGTCTCGATCCCGTTGCGTCGTTACCGATATTCCGTTATAGTTCAAACTAAGTCTTAGTCTGATTTGATATTGACGATTTAATATTCAAGTCCTGTCACGGTCGCCACTTTTGTTCACGGGTTGAACAAATAATAATGAAGATTTAAGATTTGACGTGTTTAATGCTTGAATTTACATAAAAAATATTTAAGAAAAAATTATGACGATGTGCGTGCGTTCCTTGTGCGAATTATATAGCGAGTGTCCCCGCGCTCGGCATGCGTGCGCCGCCTTCCCCGCAGCGTGACGTCAGCGATGACTTGAAGACGGCCCGAACACAAGTCTTATGTACATACAAAATACCAAATAGCACTTTATTCGAAACTGGAATTAAACACCGCCTTGCTTGAGAGTCGAATGTTTAAAATCTCGACCAACAGTACATTCATAATGTTATGTAAATAATAATTATGACTCTTACCCTAAAGCAATCATTTTAAGGTTTAATATACGTGTGAATGAAACAACTGACTTGAGCAGCTCGGTCATGGTTACTATGCGTTATACTGCATGTCTCCCATTAATTATGTACCCCAAAATCGGGAAAACACAGTGTGTAATCAGTCATTCGGTTATGAGTCAGCAATTTTGCTGTTTTTTAATACGAAGTACCTAAGTCATATTTTCGTGATAATTTAAGTAAGGGTAGGTGACTTTGGAACGAGCTAATTGCTTCACTAAGAAGATTCTTTTTCTGATGTTTAGAAGTGCCTATTTTTATTTTATTGACTTTGATTTGCTTTTGGGCCGGCTCGATTAAGATCATAGGTAATATGGAGAGAGCGTCACAGAAAATTGGCGGGAAGCAATTTTTGTGTTGTGTTTCACCGTGAGTGTGAGCTGTGAGATTACCGTTCGCTTAGTCCCTTTACGCCATCCTTTGATCCCCATTCCTTAAATTTAAACGAATGTGAACTTTTTAGGTTGACTTAGATACCACCATCAATGTCATGTGACGAAAAACAACGTAAGGACACCAGGGCTTATAATGATGAATTATTGAGTTTGACATCGCCATTCCCCCTTGATAAAACCTGGTGATTTAGTGCTCAGATCTTTGCCATGTAAGAAAAGGGCTTTGGTCAGCATTGGCTGATGAAAATGATGATGAGGACCATGACCATGACTGTTGACCGCCAATTCCCCTGAGACCCAAAATGTGTGACGTAATTTTTTATTGTATTTTTAATGTTTGTTTTGGGGGATATAAAAAAAAACAACAAATAACCTCGCTCAGTGCCAGACTCTTACTGACTAAAAACCATCCCGTTTCGTCTTCTGCCCCAGGCCGAGAGGCAGAAGGCGAAACGCGGTACACTATTGCACTCAACCCGTAACCCCGGTTGAATCGAATAATGTTCAGGTTCTACGTAAAGAATGGTCGCCCATTTATTACAAACAAGCTTTACAACTTCGGTCAGTCTGTTCATTAACCCCAAACTACTTAATAATAAACGAGTGGTTTAATTAAAGTAGTCAAAACTGTTAAGACAGAATAATTAACTTTAACGCCGAGAGGTAAATAACAATATTATATTCCCTCCTTGATGAAATTATTGTTTTAACTCCATTATCATTAAAATTAAACGACAAACTGCTAACTTTAAAAATATTTGCCTTCGCCAAGCCTCAATGAACGCAAAAGCCTAGAAATTCCCATTTACCGCGGTCTAATAATGTCACTGAAAACACCGTCTAGATACATAACGAATTCAAAGTAAACTGAATCTTATTTTCTCGCGCATAAATTCAATATTACCACGGCAACTTCAAAGAATTCCTTTCTATTACACGGAAAATGAACGCCTATATCTTTGCGAACAAAGTTTAAAATCAGTTAAAATGATATCAAATAGTATGCTGTTGGAGTTGGGACTTTGTGTTGGGAGTATTAAAGTTGAGAGTTGCTGTTAGATTTTTGTTGGCCCTTTATGTTTGTAGCATCTGCCGCTGCAGGGCGCTTATGGCGTCTAATTATTGAAAATGATAGTACCCTGTGATATTTCATGGGATTTAGAGTATTCATTTGTTATTTTCATAACTCTTCTGTTTTTTATTAGTGAAACACTTTTATGAGTACCAGGAGTACATCAGTGTGAGGAACTTAACGGTTTAATTTTTGTTTGATTGTACTTGATAGCGCGCGATTGTAATACGCCTGTGATGAACGAGCTGAATCTGATGGAATGAAGACCAGAGGAGTTTCAGGCCTTTTGGGATAAGGGTAAGATTATACGAGGGATCAAAACTAGACAAGTACCAATGTGATATGTTCCGAGTTATATGTACTTTGTATGATTATTTAAAAACGTCTAACATACGGCCAAGAAAAAAAATGTACTAAGAAACGTGTACTTCGAAATACGCTTTGAGCAAACGTAGCGATTAATTCCTAAACGTAACCAAAGTAGCTGCCTAGTTATATAAAAATATTAACAGCCAGTAGGTTTAACGAAAAAAAACAACACATTTCCATAATAACTCCTTGTCAACAAGACACCGAATAACTGATTGCAATAAAACTATCCGAGAATATCTTACATAGACTTTTGTCGAGTTTATTTAACTTTTTTCATCAAACCGCGCTCTGAGGGGAAAATGGCGAATATCCAAATCTGTCATCTATTACGAGGTGGTTCGGCTTTGAAGAGGTTTTATCATCGCTTGGCTTAAGCGAAAAATGTATAAGACGTATCTTTTATATGTTTTTTACCCCTTCGCATCGATGGCTGTTCGTGTATTTCGCGTTCGAAAAAGGTTAGCTATATTTTTGTTTTTTTTTTTGCTATTTTGAAGAACGTCGTTCAGTTTATTTAAAAATATTCGTATAGTTCGATTCGATTTAGAATGAACATTTAATTACTACGAGTATAATAACTGTATTTTTTTAATGCGTTTATGTCATGGATTTCCTTTATCAAGCTGTAGAACAAAGTTAACATGGTTTTAATAAATTGTAAGACCATGTCAAAGCCGATACTGTTTATAAGAATCTTGTGGTGAGTATTTTCAAACTGTTTTGTAAAACAGCGTCCTAAATCAATCGGCTTTATTTGTATACGTCTGTCGTCGATTACCATTGTCAAGTCGTAGAACCAGCTTCGCATAAAAAGTAACAGACACAATATATATAATAAGCAGCAAAACATTTCATACAATTGTGGAATAAATCTCAATCTCTAAAGCAAAAAAAACTTACCTCAAAGACTTCTCTAGTAGCTGAGAAAGGCAGTACAGCGACGCCGACCAATAGGTCAGCGACCGCCAACGACACTATGAACAGGTTGGTGACACTGCGCAGCTTGGAGGAGCACAGCACTGCCGCTATCACTAGGCAATTACCTGAAAACAAAATTTTAAATTTAGTTCTATTTAAAATCCACTTTTCTGCGGACGGCGAGCAAGGGTAGCTCGAACAGAATTCAGATCGGAGCGATCATGTGCGTCTAGAGAGCCTAAAGTCTATAACTATAGATGGAGTACTCTAGGGCTGATGTCCAGCCAGGGTTACTTATGCAAGCTCAATGTTGAGAACCGGCTTCGGGCAGGAGGAACACATGTTCCGTGGTTTTCGTCATTATAAGTTTGAAACTCTTCCTCGTCCTTCTGTCACCTCACCCTGGGCGGAAGAAGATAAAGAATGATCTTCTCCTATCAAAAAAGGTCTTATTAAGCTACTGGATGGGGTCCAACTGGGCCGATGTCCAGCCAGGGTTAAGGGTGAACCCTCAATGTTGTTACTTGACTCAGAGCTTGAGAAGGAACTCACGTTCATTGGTTTTTAGTCAATATGAGTCTAACATTTCTCCTCGCCTAACTCAGGATGGGAGAAGTTACAGAATAATTTCCTCCCATCAAGAAGGGTCTAAATTAACCAATAGATGCAAGTTGCTTGCCCTCAAAATATTTGGAAGTCCTTTGACAGAAAAATCACATTATTCCTACAGGTCAGAGCCAACTTTGTAGTAAACAACGTATTGCTACTTTTATTTCCACACATTATTGATGCACAATACATTACACGCAATGTATAAAAAAGATGAATTATGAATGGTAACTATCTAAAACAAGTAATTTTACTTCTGACATTAAAGTTTTATAAATAAAAGTACTTTGTTTACTCCTATTCATAATAAATTCTTAACAATTGGCGTCTATTAAGAAAAATGCTATGAACGTATAAAATTGCCGTAGTCTACAGTTTTAACGTCAAAGGAATATCTTGAAAGGATTGTATTAAATTAATATAGACCTTATTTTAAGTCTCATAGCTAAGCTTTTGTGTATAGCAATTAGTTGATAAAATTCTATAAAAAGATTTCTTAAGGATTATTTTTAGTTGGAAAGGAAATTTTCATTTTTATTACTTTGGATCTTTTAAATGTTTTGCCTTGGATGAAGTTATGTTAGTTTATTATACTTCATATAGTTTAAAGAAAGAAAGGAGAAACGTTTCTAATCTTCCGTACTTATATGATTTTAAGTCGGTACCTAAGGTCTACATAATTATGTTTAGAAGAAGACGTCATATAGAAAAGAAAGAAAGAAGAAAGACGTCATATGGCTTATATTTAAGTGTGGGAGAGCCATGCTTCGGCACGAATGGGTCGGCTCGACCGGAGTGATACCACGGCCTCACAGAAAACCGGCGTGAAACAACCACAGCGTGTGAGTGAGGTTACCGGAGGCCCAACCCTTCCCCTCCCCCGATCTCTCCCCAATCCCTTAATCTCCAAAACCCTAATCCCTAAGAGGTCGGTAACGCACTCGTAACTCCTCCGTTGCCAGGTGGTGGTGGTCCGGGTGTCCATGGGCGGCGCTGATTGCTTACCATCAGGTAATCCGGCTGCTCGTTTTCCGATCTATTACATAAAAAAAGAAATGATAATGGATGGTCCATCATCATTAATTGAGCTATAAAAAGACGTTTCGTTTCCTTTTTTTGAAGAAAAAATAATCTGCTGAGTATCAGAAAGTATTAAACTTTTACTACCTAAAAACTACTCCTGTTATTCACTAGCTCCAACCGGCACCGATTAAATACTACGCTTTGCTGACAAGATTATCGAAGGATTGTTACTTAACAGTTTATTTCTATAGTTGTTTTTTTATTTTAATAAAAAACTTGTCCAACAATAGAATTTTCTCCTGTGTTGTGGGTGTGTTTACAAACATACAATTTCACATACAGATCAAACTCAGACCCGGAACAACAATTTGTGGATCACACCAAGAGTAGTTCTGTGGGGGAATCTAATTCGCGACACGTTGCGCAGCCATGCTTCGGCACAAATAGGCTGGCTCGAGCGGAGTGATATCACCATTACGTTGTGTTTTGCCGTGTAAGTGAGCTTACTGAAGGCCTAATTCTTCCCCCAATCCTCAAACCTCAAATCTCCAATCCTTAAATCTCTAAAAACCCAAAAGTTGCCGGTAACCTACTTATAGTAAATATTTTGGTTTTATGAGTGTCCATTGGCGACGTCGATTGCTTACTATCAGGTAATCCGTCTGATTGTTTTCCGACCTATGCAAAAAAAGCCGTGAAAGAATTTTTCTAATCGGTTTATTTTTTGGTTAAGTAGTTCCAGAGCTTATTTAATTTAAACAAGCGAACAATCAAATATATCTCTTTACCTATAATTTTAGTAAAAATATTATTTGTCACTTAATTATGGCACAGTTAAAATTTTCTAATAAAATTTAACTGTTTCCCTTAGTAAATTAATTCTCAAAAGAGGTGTTGAATAAAAACATTGTAAAGTCTATGAGTACTTTTGGAATGGAACATTAAATTCGCTAACGAGATGGCAGCGGCGTGAAAAGCCGACTCCTAGACTTGCATTTAAAAATTCTTTTGGATATTTATCAAAGAAATTGCCTTTTGGTAGGTAAACAGTTTGTGAATTCAAACTTTATTAATATTTTTGTTGCTGCTCGTTTGTCGTGTGGGTGAAAGTACGGATTCTGAGTAAGGGGGCTCGGGTCTATTTCCGGATCGCATTAAGTATTATTGTTTTTTTTTTTATTTTTTTGTAATTTCTGAATCTCTCGCACGGAGTCTGGAATTATACTCAGTGTATGGAGAAAAGTTCGCCCGCTACAATAAAAAACAATTGATCACAAAGTTTTTTTTATATTTACACTTAATTAAAGCCCTAAATCTATACCAATCTATACTTCTATACTAATATTATAAATGCGAAAGTAACTCTGTCTGTCTGTCTGTCTGCTCACGTCTAAACTACTGAACTGATTTCTGTGAAATTTGGTACAGATATAGTTTGGAACTCAAAAAAAGACCAAAAATCTGCAGGAAGTTACTATTCCACGCGAACGGAGTCGCGGGCAAAAGCTAGTACTTTATAAATTGTTATTGACAATAACTTAGGCACTGATTTGTAATAACGTCATTCTGTTTACTTTCGATATAGTAATTAATAGCTCAAGTCCTAAACTTAGAAAAGCTTTTTAAAATTGTATTTTTTTTTGTAATATTGTGTTTTATAAATAAATAAACATATTTGTCTAAAATCTGCAATTAGAAAAGTTTATATTGACTATAACTCACACAGTCACAAATAATCGTTTCACTGCTTCACCGCCGCGAAAACGAAAACGTCGACTTAAAAATTCTTGCAATGTTGTCAAGAAAAGTTAATTTATTGCAAAAAGGAATCGAGGCACAACTTTTCACATCGATTATTCCGCAAATATATATCGAATCGCAAAAGTTTGTATGAACCAAGTCCCAGGGTTTCGAGTAACTGATTTTAATCGATTTCCCGAAAAGAAAATTGTATTTTTTCCCTCTTACATATCGTTGAAAGTTTTACCGAGTTGACAGTTTTCGATTATATCAATTACTAAGGTAGATTGGATGGGACAATCTTGTTAGAAGTGTGTCTTGTATGCTGTGTATCTTGTTACATCATTTTGAAACTTATGTACATAGATCTTGATGTTATTTTTAGTTTGGCAGGGTATGTGAAACGGTTTGGTTGATCGAATGGTCGGTAGACTTATTTTATTACTTGGGGAATCTCTCGACGATCTCCAGTCAATGTAAGCGCGGGTTTGGGCACGGCGAGAAGCTTGATGCCAGACCCGAACCAGACCCGAGCGTTTGTCTTGTAGCGTTCCGCGCGCTCCTCAAAGAGCCATTACATCACCAACTATTGTTATTTGAAGTGTGGGAGAGTCATGTCGGCAACGTACTCATAACTCGTCTGTTGTTGCGGGTGTCCATGGGCGGCGCTGATTGCTTACCATCAGGTTATCAGGGTGCTCGTTTGCCGACCAATCACATAAAAAAACCAACAGATGGGGCTTAATAGGGCTGATGTTCAGTCGATTTTGGATGCAAGCGAAATAGTTTACCACGGCCTTGGCCTGGAGTAGGAAAACAAACAGGGTGATTTTTAGTCAGTAAGAGTCTGACAATCGCTCCATCCACGGCTGGAAATGCCAGAAATTTTGTGTAAGACAGTCCCACTTACAGATAAAAGAGATATAGTTCCAACTTTTCACTAAAATAACATTTTGACTGCACGGTTGGTGCGGTGGCTGGGCAACTGGCTGCCGTGCAAAGTGTCGCGGGTTCGATTCCCGTAGGGAACAACTCTTAGTGTGATCCAAAAATTGTTGTTACGTGTCTGGGAGTCATGTGTACGTGAAATTGTATGTTTGTAACCGCACCCACGACACAGGAGAAAATTCAAATGCGGGGCAAAGTTTAAAAATACTAAAATCCATTACGACATATCCATATTAACTATTACACAAAACCTCTTCTATTTTTATCCCACCCTTTAAAACTAATCCCATTATTTACAAACACACCAACTAATAAATGAAAAAGCCCACGCAAGAGCGAGAGGAACGAGTAAGAGGGAGACAACAAGAAGATAATTAACTAAAACGGTTCGTGTAAGGATAATTACTAAACTGACAGTGAGGCTAAACTAACTATTGAAATACCAAGACAACATCACGTTACTTCAAAGGATTTGAGACCTTTTGATGTGATAGTCTGGTAAGGAGTCAATATATCGTCAATTTTCCTTATACAACGACGAGCGACCCTGTTTTCCTAGTAGTCTCAGTCGCGTGAATCAAGCAAATTCGTTGATAAAAGTTGTATTTGAGTATAAAAATGTACTTTAACATAAATATGAAGATAAATACATACATATATGTAGGTAAAACGAGGCCTTATCACTTCAATTCCTTCATCTCCAATCCCTTAATCCCTAATCCTCTTATCTATAAGTAGCCCTCAAAAACCCGCGAAGTACTCATTACTGCAATGATGTTGTAGGTGTTCTTAGAAGTGCGTCGGCTGCTTAGCGCCTCATATATTTTTTCTTTTTTCTTTTGTAGTAGGTCGGCAAACGAGCAGACGTATTACCTGATGGTAAGCAATCAGCGCCGCCCATGGACACCCGCAACGGAGGAGTTTCGAGTGCGTTGCCGACCTTTTAGGAATTAGGGTTTTGGAGATTTATGGATAGGGGAGAGATCGGGGTAGGGGAAGGTTTGGGCCTCCAGTAACCTCACTTACACGACGAAACACAACTCTGTGGTTGTTTCACGCCGGTTTTCTGTGAGGCCGTGGTATCACTCCGGTCGAGCCGACCCATTCGTGCCAAAGCATAAATAAGTAATATTTATAAAAAAAAAGTTTTTATTTTAAAATGTAGCGACTCGCCCAGCTACACACAGGTGCAATACTATTACTTATTTGCTCCACTATTTCATAAATGTTTATTATATATAATAAACCTTCGTCTTAAATCTCTAAATCTGTTTAAAACATCAGCATCATAATCTGTTGCGTAGTTTTAAAGATTTAAGCAATTCTAGGGATAAAGGAACAGAGGAAGAGACTTAGTTTTATACTTTGCAGTGATTATTACGTACATTTCGTAGAGTTCCAGACTTCATAATATGGTCTAGTTACAATAGACATAGATATATATTATACTAGCGGCCCGCCCCCGCTTCGCACGGGCCCAACTCTCGCTATCAGAGGATCACGTTTTCCTAATCTTCCCCTTTACCTTTCTAATATTTTCTTTGATAAGAACCTTCTCCTGACAATAACAAACACAACAAAAAAAGAATTAGCAAAATTGGTCCAGGCGTTGTTGAGTTATGCGCTTACCAACACATTTTGCGATCCATTTTTATATAATATGCTTGTGACGCATATTTTTTCCTTATATTACTCTCTTTTATATTGTATTACCATGTTTTATTTTGTTTTTGTGTTTATACACTTGTTTGTTCTGTCTCGTATGTGCATCCTAGACGCGAATAAATACTTTCGCTTTCTTTCTTCCTTTCTGTAAACTACATAGAGTACAAACAATTGCCAAAGAGTTATGTAAGTCCTCAGCATATGGGCCATCCATTACTGAGTCTGCTCAACACATGATACTCCAAAATGAACATGAATGAAAATATCAGAATCAATAATCACTACTTTCATCATCAGCCTATAAGTGCCCACTGCTGAGCAAAGGCCTCTTCTCATACGGAGAAGGTTAGAGCATTAATCACCACGCTTGCTCAACGCGGGTTGGCGATTTCAAACTTGTAATTAGAAATTATAAGTCCAGGTTTCCTCACGATGTTTACCTTCACCGTATGTCAGTGGTGTCTAAATAATCATAGAAAGTACATATAACTCTGAAATAGTCACACTGCTACTTGCCAGGTTTCGAACCCTTATGCATGAGACGCGGGTTCCTTAACCTCCGGGCCACCACGACATCAACACCACAAAATCACTACTTATAATATTTAAAAACAATAAAAAATATAACGTTTCGATTCTAAAAGGTCTTAGGTCTACACGACTTAAAAATAAACATTAATAAACTCGAAAATCGAATTAAAACAAGCGATGATTTTGCTGATTCATCACTATTCAAATAGCCGACCCTTTCTCGCCCTAAGCTAAAGAGCTAGGCCGGCGAAGCAATTCTTATGCTCTATTAAGCTTATTCTATAACCTTGCCATTATCCTGACTTACAAAGACGAGGCTTATAGGTTTAGTGCCAAGGAAGATATATGTATCCACGTTTTCATCGATGACTAAGTTAAAAATTATTAACTTTTGCATTTCGGGAGTTTTTTCTTGTTGTTATAAGTAACTAGCTACTCCCCCGCAGTTTCACTCGCTGCTTGGCTCCATTTGATTGTAGCGTGATGTTTTATAGCCTATGGCACTCGGGAACATTGTATCTATCAATAAGTAAAAGAATTTTGGGAATCCGACCAGTTGTTCTAAAGATTACCCCCTACATACAAACTTAAAAATTTTACCTCTTTATAATATTAGTATGGATATGAATATAGCTCTATATAAATAGTATTATCTTGGTGTAAAGACTTGTAATAAAATAGGGCAGCAAATAAGCAAATAGTTCATATTCCACCGATCCTCGACCCCACTGACCCCGAAACACCCGAAGAATTAGAAATGTGTGGTCCGCCTTTTTGGGCTTAGGAAGCGGGGTAAATAGGGCAAGACTTCTATTAAAGGGAGTTTTAGAAAATAAGAGAAAAACAATGGGAAAGGTTATTCTTAGCGTCTCTCTGAAGGGTCGAATTCGAAACGAGGTCATCCGAAAGAGAACTAAATTTCTCGCCCAAAGGATGAAAGTGAAATGGCAGTGGGCAGGTCACCGAGAGATGATCTCCGGCCACCGTAAGCGTGGGTTTGCGGATGCCGAGTAGGGTAGCTCGCCGCCCGACCAGAACCAGACCCGAGCGTACGGCGCGTAGCATTCCACGCGCCCCTCAAAGAGCCAGTGGACCACCACAGACGGGGCCCTTTAGGGCTGATGTTCAGCCGGGGTTGCGAGTTAAGCGCAATAGTTCACCATGGCCTCGGCCCAGAGCAGGAGAAAGAACTGGGGTTTTTAGTCAGTAAAAGTCTGACACTCTCTCTCGCCTAACCCTGGGCGGGAGAAGCAATTTAATGATTTTCCCCTGACAAAAAAAGTGGGCAGGTCACATTTGTCGAAGAACCGATGATAACCATAATGGTTTACGTATTCTGGAGTGGAGACTACGTTGTGGCGAACGTAGTATAGGACGCCTTCCAACTAGGTATTCTGACGGTATCCATTCTGTGGCTAGCATGAGTTGGATGAGAAGAACTGAATATTGAGCTCAGTGGCGTGCAATTGGAGAGGTTTGTATCCAGCAGTGGACGGAAAAAGGCTGATAATGATGATTAAAGAGAAAAATCCGTAAATTTCAATCCTTTTGGTGCCATAGCGGTGTTCTAACAAAACAAATATCTGACACGGAGGTAATAAGACAATTCTGCAAAACAAGGAGGGAGTAGCTTCTAATTATTAGTTTAAAATTGCGGATTTACGTTGAGTAAGCGTGGTGATTAATGCTCAAACCTACTTCGTGTTAAAAGAGGCTTTTACTAAGCAGTGGGCACTTGTAAGCTGATGATTACGAAGATTATAATTTGTGTTTATAATACTTTTGATTTGATACATTGCATATCATCCTCAGCAAATAATACATGGCTAACAAGACCTTCAGTTTTCCACAAGAAAACAAAGTTTACATATAAAGTATGTTGTAAGGGTTCCGTTCAGTGTTTCACTTCCCAAGTATCAAGTTCCTTGCACTTGATAGTTTGGAAAGTTTTGTGTGGAGTTAGTTTCAATCAGTAAAATGTTTTCTTATAAAGTAATTTATAACTTGGTGTCACCAATCATCTAATGAGAAGCAATTAGCGTAGCAATTGAATACGACAGAGGTGAAATTTTACCAATGATGTTGTTATAAGAACTCCTTTATTGTTGTTTTCTCGTTTAATTATCAATCCAACCATTATACGTGGCAGTTTTTTAAAAAAGAATACCTAAGGCACATGAGAGGCTTACATCATTAAAAAAAATTCTGTTTCCTGATAAGTTTTAGAAAAAAACAAACCTTATCCTTTGAAAGAAGATTTTTTATTGAGTCAGAAATATATTTCCCGTTCTAAAACGTATATAAACTTTAACATCAAGATATAAGGTTAAAATTCGCAAAAGCAACTGAGATGGGTTTTCTTCTATCAGTTTTTGTCTTGACCATATTGTACAGCTGTTTTTGGAAACAAACAAAGGGTTTTCATATCTGTTAGCAGTTCATAGCTGGGGACCTGCATTTGCTAGTCATCCCCATAGAATAATCACCCTGCTTTGCAGCACGGTAATTATAGCAATTTCACGTTTGTCCTGGTCATTATAGGCCCTTGGCGTTACCGTAATTTCGGCCGGGGACAATTTCCGGCAGATACGGGCACAGCCTTGAAGGTAATGGGAGGTGAATGCAGTTTTGTACCGTGTTGATGTTTGTGCGAATTCATAGGGTTGGTCATGCTGAATGTGGGTTGATTAAAACTGAAATTAAACTTGTGACTGAAGTATCACCATAATGAAAGCTAAGCTTTGGCATGAGTCGGGTCGACTTAAGTGTTACCATGGCTTCACCGAAAACCGGCGTGAAACAACCACAGCTTTGTATCTCGCCATCTGAGTGAAGTGATCGGAGGCCCAATCCTTTCTCTCCCCATCCAAACGCTTCAATCCGGCAACGCACTCTTAACTCTTTTGGTATCTTTATACGTGGCGCCGACTGCTTACCTTCAGTTAATTTGCTTGCGCGTTTGCTGACATATCTCATAAAAAATGAGGCAGTAAATATCTCTTTACTAAATAAGAATGAAGATTTAATCACAACGCTTGCTGATAGCTTATTAATATTTTCAACTTATCAGACTTTTTGTCTCGTGCTAAGTATAGAGCTCATGACACGAAGATATAAATATAAATGTGTAACAATCTGTATGAGTTTGAAGTTAATTTATTACAACAAACATATCCTCGTTCCATCCATTGAACGTTAAAAGTCAGCATCATTACTACCAAAAATAAATACCTTGGTCCCAAAGCAAAATCATCTTTATCCTTCGAAAAGTACAGCAAAAATCTCAAAAGGGATCCGAAATCCCAAACAATCTGTTGTTTTCTTTTCATGGACCAATCGGAACAGATGCTGGTGACAAGAAAACGGTAAATATTGGGAAAACTTCTAAATAAATAAATAACGAATGCGAGCTCTGGGCCTTTCAATACCCTTGTTACTATCAAAAAGGTTTTATTGAGCCTTTGTACTTTGATACTGGCCTTCAAGACACTAGTTTTAAATTATGAATGACGTTAAACTCTCAGTGGCCTGTATTTTAAGTGAAGAATGGACGAAAAAGTTTCGATAGTTTATTTATTATTTCGAATCTTTTCTCCTATTGATTCGTTCCACAACAAATTATGAATATGAAGTGAAGTATGAAATTTCATGATATAAGTAGGAAATATTTTTTTTGTTAATTATTTAGTTAAGAAATTAAAACTTAAATAAATAGTACCAATCTTTAAAAGACGAATTTAATGTCCTGATAACAAGATTTTTAGCTTTATAAACATAAAGGTGCAAGTCCTGTACGTTTATTACAATTGACAATATTATGATAAGTTTTTTTTTCACATAAGTAGTATGAAGTATGAACGTAGCTGTGAAACAGGCCCTTTTTTTGAGGGAAAAGTCGTCAAATGACTT